GAAAAACTCCCTTTTAACAGGAAGAAACCTCCAGCAGAACCAGGCTCAGTGTGAGTGGCCATCTGCTGAGGCCCACTGGGGTTCAAGGAGACAGAAGATCTCAGTCTTTTGAGATCTAGGGAAGCAACTAACGATTAGTTTGCAAATGTCATAATCTGTCAATTATTTTTTCAATTCATCTATTAATAATCAGATAGCAAACATTTCCTTAAGTAAGATTTACAAAATCAAACCAGGTGAAAACTAAAACTTTTACACTTGAGGATTAATTTTTTTACGATCATGGCATAATTCCTGCTCTAAGTGGGTCGCTCTGTCAGCTAAACTCATGTTTTACAGTCTCTGTACTCCAGTTATCTATTAATCGATTACTAAACAGTTGAAGATTATTTCAACAATCAATTAATCACGATTAATGCGATTAATTGTTTCAGCCCTAGACAGAGCTATAAAACATAGATCAGAGCGTTTTGCTCAGCCGACTCATTAAAGAAACGCGATTTCTATGATTCTCATCAGTGACACTTGATCAAGTTACTCTGCATTAAACTGAAACTGTAATTAGGGATGAACCTATCCATTAGTTCAGTTATCCTTTATTCTAAAGATAATTTTTAGTCCAAAAAGAGAAACTTTTATTAACTCAACCGTCCTTAATGAACAAACACTTGAATTAAAGAAAAAAATTATTTCACCTTTTATTTGAACTGCAACTGGCAAAACACTTAAAAAATATATTTATATATAAATATTTATTTTATGTTATAAATGTTTAAAGTTTGTATTTTTAGAGTTTAATCTTAATTGCTGCATTAAGTAGGTTATTCGTTCCTTAGACTGCATCAGTGTACTGTAAAGATTTGATGTCCCAAACTAGTTGATTATCATTTCTGTAATCGATTAACCATAATTAATCGGACTGACTGTTTCAGTCCAAATTCTAATGAATTTAAAAAACAGTTTCCCAGATGCAGACTTATTGTAAAACTGCAGTTATCGCAGGTTAAAAACCCGACATTCTGCAGCTATGAAGTTTTCCGTTATATAAAATCTGTTACAGTATTAATGAACCACACATAAAACCTATAGAGGGGATTGAACTCTGCATTAGTGACATTTATAATGCTGAGATGAATGCAAATTTCCACAAATTCTAAGCCGACTTTCACCATAATGTTCCAACCTGAAGGTTGAAGGTAGAGACCAGAGTATGACCAGCTTAGCTGAGTTGTTATAAACGAAACATTTCTACCAGTCCAACTTCACAATTGCAGTAATTAAACTGCATTTAACATGTGCTAAAACACGCCTGATTTCATGGGTATTTTACGGAAGAGGATTAGGGCCACTGAAAAAAAAAAGTTAACGGATTTTTAAATTTTATTTCAGTTTAGTATGGGAAAAAAGAATTCTGACTTTTTCCTCCGAATTCTTACTTTAATCTAAGAATTCTGACTTTTTTCTTAGAATTCTGACTTTAATCTCAGAATTCTGACAGCTAACAAACATGTTAGCATCAAGCCATAGCCATGTTTGTTTTAGAGACTAGCTCTGTTGTTTTAATGACCTTCTGCTCCTCTATTAATGAGGTGACCCTCCGGCACGTAAAAAGTTGCCTAATTCCGTCATTTTCCACCAATGTGTCACTGGCCACCTCAAAAAACTCACATCTCTTCCTTCATGGTGCCCATCTACATTAAAATCCAAAATCGTGAGATTAAAGTCAGAATTCTGAGATTAAAGTCAGAATTCTGAGATTAAAGTCAGAATTCTGAGAT